CTCAGTACCACACACACAAAACCAGTCAGAAACATCACTGAACTGAACTCCCCCACTGAAAGGCCCCAACCAGATAAGAGGCAGGCACAAGCTCCCCATGGGATCCTAGAACATCCTCCTCCAAAAGGAGTGAGGGAGGCAGAGTCCAACCAGGAGCCAGACTTCACCCTATGAAATTTGAATGTTTACAAAGTCTAAAACCAAAGCCACCAAGGAAGTCTAAACAGGGAGGGGATGAAGCTGCAAGGGAGCCAGGAAGAGCTGGGTGAGCAGGGCAGGAGGCGGGCAGGACGGCTTTTCTTATTTCAGACACACTTTAAAATCACATCACCTACCCTCTGCTAAAAAAACGATTCAGTGTAAGCCAGTCGAGGTGGCACACGCCTGTCATCCCAGCCACTCAGGAGGCAGAGGCAGGCATGTTGGGCCCTGTCTCAAAATAAGATAAAAACAGGGGCTGGGGATGTGGCTCAAGCGGTAGCGAGCTCGCCTGGCATGCGTGCGGCCCGGGTTCGATCCTCAGCACCACATACCAACAAAGATGTTGTGTCCGACGAAAACTAAAAAATAAATATTAAAAATTCTCTCTAAAAAAAAAAAAAAGATAAAAACAGGACCAGGGATGTGGCTCAGTGGTAACTTCTGGGTTCAATAAATAAGAAACTGGAGACAGTCTAGTTGCTCTAGGGGTCCCACAGTCAGCACTCCCACCTCCCATATACATGCAGGGAACTTCCAAAGAGCCTTCCTGACCCATCTCTTAAGCAAAATAAGGACCCAAGAATCACCACACACTTGAAAAAAGCTTCTAACCGTGCAATTCAGAATTATAAGCCAAAACAAAAACAGAGGATGGGGAAATAGACTATGCTAATGCAACACAGAGAAGAAAGCACACAGAATCTAGTAATGTCTTCAGCAAGATAAGACAATATGTGCCCCAATAAAAACCAGAGACTTTATTTTCAGAAAGGAATAAAAAGAGAGTGGGAAGGACAGAGGGAGGGAAGGAGGCTGGGAGGGAGGGAGAGAGGCTGGGAGGCAGGGCAGGAAGGGAGAGAGGCTAGGAGGCTGGGAGGCAGGGAGGGAGAGAGGGAGGGAGGCTGGGAGGCAGAAAGGGAGATAGAGAGGAAGGGAGGGAGGCTAGGAGAAAGGGAGGGAGGCAGGGAGGGAGGGCAGGAAGGGAGGCAGGGAGGGAGAAAAGGAGAAAGGGAGGGAGGCAGGGAGGGGGGGGGGGGGGAGAGACAGGCTGGGAGGCAGGCAGGCCCAGAAAATGATTCACTGAATCTTAAGTTAAAAAAAAATAGGACCCACAAATGAAAAATGCAGTAAGAGTTGGAAGATACAGCTGAATGTTACCCAGAAAACAGAACAGAAAGAAAGATGAAAATTAGGAAAGTAAAATTTTAAAAGTGGAGGATAAATTCACAAAGACTAACATCTAGTCAAGGAATACAGAAAGGAAAACACAAACTATATCTGAGATTCATATCCAGAATATATAAGAACTCCAAAACTCAATAGCAAAAACCCACATATAATCCAATTTAAAAATGGGCAACAGACCTAAACAGACATTTCTCAAAAGAAGACATTAAAAAAAAAAAGCTCAATGTCACTAGCCATCAGGGAATGCAAACCAAAACCACAATGCCTCCTCACTCCAGTAAGAATGCTAATATAAAAAGACAAGAGGTAACTAGAGTCAGCAAGGATGCAGAGAAGGGAATCCCTGCCTGCTGCCAGTAGGGATGTACATTAGCGCAGCCATTCTGGAAGACAGTGTGGAAGCGCCTCCAAAAATTAGAAATAGAACTACCATACGATCCAGCAATGTCACTCATGGATGCACATCCAAGGGAAGAGAAGCCAGCATATCCAAGAGACGTCTGCATCTGGGATGCCAAGAAACGGGAACAACCTGTGTCCCGACAGAGGAACAGCTGAAGAGAATATGATGCACACTCATGAAGCAGCGATGCTCAGTCACAGCAAGGGATGACTCCTGTCACGTGCAACAGCATGGGTGGAACTGGAGGTGGCACAGAAAGATAAAGGCTGCCTGARCCCTCTCATAGGTGAAATCTAAAAAGCTGATTTCAGAGGAGCTGAGTAGACCAGGGGCTGGGAGAGCAGCTGCAGGGAGGACAGAGAAGCTGAACAATAGGCACTAAGTTACATTGCATGGGAACAAGGAGTTCTGGAGCCTACTGCATGGTCAGGTGACTCCAGGGGACAACAAGTACTGTGTATTTAAAAAAACAGAGGGAAGGATTCTGAGTGTTTTCATCATAAAGAAATGATCAATGTTTGATAAGCTAGATATGCTTAACCTGATTTAAACCTTACATGTGTATATGTGAATGGAAATGTCACATGGAACACTATATATAGCTGTACAATTTTTGTTATATGTATCAGTTTTAAAAAACTAGAAAGGAAAGAATGAGCTGTATGTGCCGCTTAGTGGTAGAGCACTTGCCTAACGTGCAAGGCCCAGAACTGCATCCCCAGCACTGCAAGACGAAGCAACAAGAAAGATAGGGAAAAACAAATATGTACAGAAACGACAAAATACTTCAAAAAAACTTCCAGGAATGGAAAAACATGCATGTCACTGTAACAGCCCTTCAGGTGCCCAGCCCAATGGACAAGAATAGACGGGGTCCATTTCAGAGGCCAAGGACCTCAGCCAGGAGGCCGGGGAGTCAGCAATCACAGGGCTATGGAGAAACACCTTCTGACTTCCTGGAGACACTGACTCACCTAGAATGCCAGACAAGCCAAGTCTCACCAGTGAGGGTGGGATAAAACCATCTCAGACACAGACCCCAACACTCACCTCCCTTACCCTTCCCCAGACAGTAAGGGGTAAACCAAGAAAAAAGCATGACAGCCAAACTGCAGTGGCTGCCTCTCAAGGAAGGCCAGGAAGAGCCTGAGGTGATGGCCACCGGCCAGAGGACCCAGAGGCAGCCAGGCAGGCCAGACAGAAGGCGGTCAGAGGCCCCAAGGGAAGAAGGAAGAGCAGGACAGTGGCTCAGATGAAGCTCCACTTGAAAGAAAGAAAAAGGAGCCTAAGAAGCAGCCTGGGCAACCATTTCCACAGGCCCAACATCACAGTCACCACCAGTGAGACCAGCAGAAGCCCATGGCTATTGGGAAGGAGGAGGCTACTCTCTATGTGTACAGCTGAAAGCAGCACTGAGAAGAGTGAAAGTCAAGAGGCCACATTCAACCTTGAAAAAAAAAAAAAAAGATCTGTCCATAAACACAGCTAGGTGGCTAGGCACACAACTCAGTTAGCAGAGTGCTTGCCTCGCATGCACAAGGCCCAGAGAGAGAGAGAGAGAGAGAGAGAGAGAGAGAGAGAGAGAGAGAAAGAACACACAGCTGGGTACAGTGGTACATGCCTATAGCTCCAGCTACTCAGGAGGCTGAGGCACAATGCCTCGGACCCAAGAGTTTAAAAACAGCTTAGGCAGCATAAGGAGACCCTGTCTGGAAAAGAGACAAGACCAAAGGAAAGCCAGAGTGGTAAGCAGTCAGCCACCAGGAAGCTGGGGTGTGTGAGGCTGGGGATGGCTGTATTTCTGTAATAGCCATGCAGAGCTGCAGATCCTGTGTACCTGAATGGCTTCAGGGAGATGTTTGTGCTTTGCAGCACTCCAAGCCTAGTCTGGCCATCACTCTAGCAGGTAAAAGTACTCACTGAAGACATTTCTAATCTTCCCAAYGCAGGAATGGAGAACAACTCTGGCAAGGAATTGCGAAGCCAAAGTGCCGGCAACAGCCCATCCTGAATGTAGAAGGCATCCCCCTCCTCCCAGATGCCAAACCACACGTTTTAACCAAGAATTTCAGAACCTCCAGGAGTCAGGATCTCCCAAGGCAACCACAGTGATCCTGAAGACGGGGCACACCTGGGCAGGCAAACACAGGCACACAACCACACCATAAGTCCACTGGACAGCACTGATACTGCATGTACCTCACCTTAGAAGGCATCACTGGGACGTCCATTCCCCCCTACACACACCTTCTGTTACTCTAAATTCCAGCAATGAGTCCTGTGCACCAAGAATGGCTGGGATTCACGTGACATGATACCAGGAAGGTAGCTCTGCTTGGATGAACTAAGAGGAGCTGAGCAAAGTAATGGGACTGAGTGGAATTTCTCAGACGTCTTACAGTTGTTTTGAAAATACATATTCCTAGAACGGTGACTGAAGTTCTCAGTGTTTATTTTTCTCACTAGATCCTCCTTAAAACCTGGAGACCTGGGGTGGCGCCTGGTCAGTGCTGCAGGAGCCCGAGTCACCCAGCTGTGCAAAGGCTTTACCTCTGCGCTGGGTACCAGCACCCCCCAGGACTCCAGCGCACACCGAAGGCTCTGAACCCGACAGCGGCAGGGCCAGGGCCTATGCAGTGGCCAAAGCGAGCGGCCGCCTGCGCACGGCGGCAGGCACGGGGCAGCACTGTCACGAGTGGGCAGTACCAGAGAGCAACCAGGCATAGACCGCGCATCCTCGCACCCAAGCGCACGGCATTCCTTAGAGACCTGGCGGAGAGGTCGGAGAATTTGTTTGGAAAGCACGGGCCTCATTATGACCAGGCATAGTCCGGGGCTCCTAACCTCTCGGGGCACCTTTGGGAGCGTGATGAAAACGCCTCCCGTCGCGAGAGACAGCAAGAAACAGACGGAGTCAGGGGCTCGCCGAGGGAGCTGCCGCCGACGAGGAGACCTCGTCCCCCTGTGCTTAGAGGCCACACGGCTGGGTTGACCCAGAGCCACCTAATTAAGGAAATGCAGGGCGGGAGGGCGGAGGCGGAGCCAACGCCCTTCAAACTCCGTGGGGATAGGCAGGTTCACCGCACGTCACCGAAAACAAAACAAAACAGGAAGCTTTTGCCCCAAACGCTGCAAAAAACATACTAGGCAGCTCGACGCCGAGCGTCCCACCCCGGCGCGGCCCCTCGCGCGCCCCTGGGCCCGGTACCTGGCTGCGCCGCGTCCTGCTCGTCCCCGGCCTCCGCGCCCTGCTCCCCAGCAGGCCGCTCGGGCTCCTCACGCTCCGAGGCCTCCGCGGGCTCCGAGACCTCCGAGGCCTCCTCGGGGTCAGCAAGCGCGCACCGGGGCGCGGGGCCCGACGCTGCCGACGAGGCCGAGTCGTCCGAGGCGCAGTCCGGGCCCCAGGCGTCCCAGAGCCAGGGCGCGTGCGCCTGCTCCAGCAGCCGGCGGCCCAGGCGGTAGCGCAGCAGCTCSCGGTAGCACGGCGCGTACTCGTCCCAGCGCGGCTCCCGGTAGTGCTTCCTGTACTCGCTCTTGACCCCGCTGCCCGGTGACATGGTGCTGCGATCCGCCGCCGGCCCGCTCCGCGCCGCTGCTTGAGGGGCCCACACAACAGAAGCCGCCCCGGCCGGGCCGGCCCGCCGCGCGTTTCAAACCCGGAGCCCCGCCCGGACGGGGCGGGGGCGGGGCGGGGGCGGTGTTGCCGCCCTCGGGGTCGCGGGGGCTGGGTGGAGTCGGGGCGGGGGCTCCGGGAGGCGTCACCGCCCTCCGGGTCGCGGGGGGATGGGCGGAGTCGGGGCGGGGTGGGGGTGGCCCTACTGGTTCAGGAGCGGGGGCGGTGCCACTCGGGCTTCCAAGAGGGGACCGGGCGGCCCGTCACCGGGGGCGGCACCGGGGGCGGCTCCGCGGGCGGAAAGCGGAGGCCGGGGTTGAGCCGGAGCGAGAGCGGGCCGAGCACCCTCCGGGCGCAGGTGTGGGCGGCCAGCGGCCTTACCTCTTGCCGCCGTGGCGCGCGTGGCGCAGCAGCTAAAGCGCGGCTGTAGTCCCTCGCTTCCTGACAAGATGTCGCCGACGGCGAGCAATCGGCGGCCCCGCGGCTGCTACGCCAAGGCGCCGCCCCAGCCGAGAGCAGACGCCTCCCCGCGCGCCTACCCGGCCCCCGCCAGCGCCGTGGGCGCCGCCCGCCAGCCCAGGCCCACCTGCCCGCACTCTGCGTCCCAGCGCTGCCCCGGAGGCTCAGACCCAGAGTTAGTCAGCCGGGGGGAGCGGTCGGCCCTGGCCAAACTACCGCCGCCACGCTCAACGGCCCATTTACATGCCCGTCACCTTGCTTCCTTCTGGTTCACAGTATCTGTTGCTCTGACTTTCAACCTTTCTTTCAATRCAAGCCTTTTCTTATCTTTAACACACCAGTATTCATTGATTGATTAAAAGCCGCGTAGTGCCAGGCACAATGGCACACTTTGTAATCTCATTGACTGGGGAGACTGAGGCAGGAAGATCAAAAGTTCCAGGTCAACCTGAGCAACTTAGACAACAACACCATCCCGCTCAGGAACGCATTTGCACCCAGAAGCCCGTTGCCTGTGGTTACAGTGTGCAGAAATGTTGCCCTGCAGAACTTAAGAGTTTCCAAAGGCCCTCTGTTTCCTGCTTTTATAGAAAGAGGCCCGGATACAGTAGCGCAGAAAGCCTTGAAAGGAAAGACCTTCTGGGAAATTGCAACATAATTAACAAGCAAAAGCAGGCCTGTCTGTGGATGAGCGACCCAGATCCAGCTCCCGCACTGGGTTTTCCTGGCTTCACTGCCTTTTCCTTGTGTCTGTGCCCTCCCATCCCTCATCTCAGATTGAAGACCCTGAGAGGGCACTGGCCCCAATGAGATGGTTTGACTGTCCCTCCTGAGAACCTGAAGTTTTATGTTCAGTGCAGCTTCCAGAAGGAACCCACCATCTGCTGCCCTGCAGTCCCCACCAAAGCTCACCTCTCCTCTTAGTAATGTCACCTTCTGCCCCTTGACACATCTCTGGGACATTCTAATTCATTCCCCTTATGCTTAGACAACCAAAAGAACCTTAGTAGATATTTAATAGCGAGGAAGAAATGGTGACATGCAGTTACACAGTTGACCTTTCACTGTATAACTCTGCAAAACTTAGCGGTTAGAGCAACTATGACTTAAGACTTGTTGGGATTCTGGGGTGAGCTGGGCAGTCCCACCACTAGTGCTGGAAAGGCTCAGGTGGCCACTGCATGGCAGGTGGAGCAGACAACTTAGGCTGCCTGGGTCATGTACAGACAACTGGAGCGGCCTCAGAAGATCTGGGACATCTGCTGCCCTGTCCTAAGATGCTAGCTAAAACTCAAGCTGTGAATGCCAACTCAGACTGCAGAGAGGCCCCSTGCTAAGCCAGCTAGCAGCCATGTTCAGTCTGCAACACAGTCACACCCACACCTAGAGTGATACCAGTTTTTTTCTAAATATTGTTTTAGCTATAGGTAGACACAATATTATCTTTATTTTATTTATTTATTTTTATGTGGTGCTGAGGATTGAACCCAGTTCCTCATTTGTGCAAGGCAAGTGCTCTACTATTGGGCTACAACCCCAGCCCCATGATACCAGTTTTTTAATAACTCAGAAATGGAATTAGAAATAATCTTATTTTTTAAAATTTGTCCCTATTTTCCATAATTAAATGTTTTGTTTTTGTTCTTTTAAAGGTGTTATCACATCAAGTCTTTCCATTAGAAGTGACAAACAATTTATACCAGCTTGGGAGGTCACCTACTGGCTCAGGTAGTTAGATACAGGGTTTCAATAACATTAGGACTTGGCTTCCTTCTGTCTTTGAACTCTGCTTTCCTGCTAAGGGCTTCCCTCTTAGTCTAGAAATGGATTTCCTCCCACAGATGGAGAAAGAGCCACTTGCAGCCCCAAATGATGTTGTCTCAACTAAGGACCATCAGCAAGAGAAYTTTCACTTACAGAGGAAAGTTACCCAGTCCACGCTCAGGTGGTGACAGGTACCTGAGTGRAAAGGTCAGCTATGCCCAGGCCATGTGCCCATCCCTGCAGATGGTGCTAAGGTGGAAGGCGAGAACTGACAGTCCAACGAGACCCATATAGAACAGAGAAGACAGCATGCAAACGACAAATATACATCAATATATTTGTCTTTGTGTTTAAATAACAAGAATGAGAAAGATGGGATTTGATAGTTCTTGGGGGTAGGGCTCCTGGGATATAGTTGACCTTAAGAGGGACACAACTACTAAGAAATCTAGCTGGGTACAGTGGCACACACCTGTAATCCCAGCGGCTCAGGAGGCTGAGGCAGGAGGATGGAGAGTTCAAAGCCAGCCTCAGCAATAGAGAGGTACTAAGCAACACAGTGAGACTCTGTCTCTAAATAAAACATGAAATAGGAATGGGGATATGGCTCAGTGGTCAAGTGCCCCTGATTTCAATCCCTGGTACCCCTCAAAAGAGAGAGAGGGAAGGAAGGGGGCAGGGGAGAGAAAGAAGGAAGCAAAGAAAGAAATTTGCTGTGATCTGAGAGTTATCTATGAAATTGTGTCCTCTATGAGGGATGTGAAGTACTCTAGAACCCACTCATGCAGCACTGCACAAGCACCAGTGTGGAAGAAGTTCAGTCTGTTCTATTCGTGAGATTAGGACCCATGAGCAGAGATGACCAGCTGTAAGTAGGGCAGATGTCACTGGCTGGGAACTGGGGTAAGCAAGAGAAAACTGACCTCAGGGGCTCACAGAAGACATGGAGTCAGTGGGAAATGGACAGACACCCACCAAAGACTCAAAGCAGGTCCCAGCAGAACAGGTGAGAGAAGATCTGCTCCCTCAAGCATGGGGGAGGGATATTGTTTTAGTCAGCTTTCTCACTGCTGGGACTGAAAGATCTGACCAGAACAATCGCAGAGGAGGAAGAGTTTATTTAGGGGCTTAGGGCTTCAGAGGTCTCAGTCCATGGACAGCAGGTTCTATTCCTCAGGGCTCAAGGTGAGGCTGAACATAATGATGAAAGAGTGTGGTGGAGGGAATCAGCTCACATGATGATCAGGAAACAGGGAAACTCCACACTCCAGATAGAAAATATATAACTCAAAGGCACACCCCCAGGGTCCCACCTCCTCCAGCCACACTCTACCCACCTTCAGCTACCACTTTAGTTCATCCCATCAGRGGACTAATTCACTGATTGGGTTAAGGCTCTCATAATCTCTCATTTCTCCTTTAAACCTATTGCATTGCCTCACACATGAGCTTTAGGGGGACTCCTCACATCTAAACCATAATAGAGACTTCAATGAGAGCAGCCTGGGAGGCTACCCTGGGAAGGAAGTTCTGATGCTGGACTCTGCCGCAGTCTGGCTGGGCACAAAATCACAAGCCACTCACACCTTATAGATTCAAACAGCGACTCTTTATTCCCAAACTGTCACCGGCACTCTACACGCACGTTCTGGGGAAAAATCCACACCTCCACCAGGCTCTGCATCCCAAATACCCTCTGAATCCTGTGAGAACTCCACGGGAACTCAAGGAGTGGGCACCTGGAGGCAGCAGGATACGCCCTATTCCCAGCAGGATACACCTTAAACCTGGAACCGCCCTAAAACCAGATCGCCCTAAACCCGGATAGTCCTGAACCCGGATCCGCCCTGGTCCTTGAGCAAGGTCACCTTTCATGCAATGTCACTGCAAATGACCTGGGTCCAAGGCAAGCCCATTTCCACAATGGAGAGTCCTCCCTCTAAGCAACATGGGGTAGGCTGACAAGGAAATTGCCATGCATCATTCCTACTTGGCTATGGCTCTCAGCAGGACTCCCTAAGGAAAAGAAAAACAATTGATATTTGCTACACAGGCATATAGATTCAACATAAGAAAACCTGCTGGCCAGTCATGGGGGCGCACACCTGTAATCCCAGTGACTTGAAAGGTCGATGCAGGAAAATCACAAGTTGGAAGCTAGCCTCAGCAATTTAGTAAGACCTGGTCTCAAAAATAAAAAGGGGGCTGGGGATGTGGCTCAAGCGGTAGCGCGCTCGCCTGACATGCGTGCGGCCCGGGTTCGATCCTCAGCACCATATACCAACAAAGATGTTGTGTCCGCCGAAAACTAAAAAGTAAATATTGAAAAAAAAAATAAAAAAAAATAAAAAAAAATAAAAAGGGCTGGGGATGTAGCCCAGTGATAGAGTACCCCAGGTTCAATCCCCAGTTGTGAAAAAAAAGAAAAGAAAAGAAAATGGGAAAACTGCTGGTGACTAGGCCTGACCACAGTGGGCCAGACATGAACAGTGGGAGTCCACCCTCCATGCACCATCCTAGGCTCCCACCTCCAAGAGCCCTCCTCCCTATGCCTCCAGCACTGCCTCTCCTCCTGGGTATCACCCCATCCTGTCTGCAGGACTTGTCCTAAGTCAGTGAGGCCATAGTCCATGAGCTTCCTCCACCTCCATTTCTCTCCTTCTCAGAAAGCTCTTCTCCATGTGGCAAGCTCTGCTCCCACCTCTCCTGGTCCCTCCCACTCTGCTCCCTCCATCAGCCCTCCCAGAGTCCCTCCACGTTGCCAGAAGCTCAATCCTTGTCCCCAACGCTGATCCAATAACAAGGACACAGTTTTGAGAAAAAGG